GGAAGGTGGCTGTGATAACCTTATTGAAAGGAGAAGAGCTGGCAAAGTTCCCTTGCTGCACAACAGAAGGAAAAGGAAAAGGGCCTTGGAAATTCACAGCAGGGTGAACAAGAACTTCTTGTCATCAGTCTCCTTCCTTTGTTCCTGGGAAGGACCGTTTGACTGCATCTCACCAAAGGGTTGGTCAAAAAAAATACAAAAGATGTAATCTAAAGGCTAAAGCATCTCTGAAGAATTAAAGTTGTGTGGAGGGAGAAGTCAGTGGGAGCATCATGCAGAAGAACAGCAGGGTGGCTGCCCAGGGATGTCGTGGCCTTGTAGAATAAAATGACAATTTTTTTCAATGGAACATCATGTCCTGACTGCTGGGCAAAAGCTCCGTTGTTGGGCTCAATGCCTGTTGCAGCAATAGTCCAGGGCTACGTGCGCCTGCAGAAATGCCTCTAAGGATATTGCCCAAGAAGTCAACAAGAAGTCTCTGCAGTCAACAAGATTTATTAACCTGAAAATGTTTAGGCACTACTGAGACTCTCAACATCCTGTTTTATCTCCTTTTAATATCGCTGTTGTGTAGTTGGGATTTCTGATGTGTAGAAACTTGTGGTGCATGGACGGTTCACAGCCGTCCTCTGTGTGTGGTACTGTGGTTTCTTTGTCCTTTTCCGAATGGCCAAAACAGACTAAGAGAGACTTTTCCTTGAATTACGGGATACTAAGAATGAATTATACCAAGTACACAGCACCAAGAATACAGCACAAGTTTTTTAAAGCAAATGTCATTATTTTTATAGTTTGCATTTAAAAAATAGCTCCAGTTTACACGCTGAAATTCAGCCATTCAAATAAACCCTTAAGCTCCCTTCTTCAGCAGCATCTCCCCATAGGTGCATCATTTCAGCTGTGGTGTCTGTTCTATATGTCATTTTGAGCACTTCCCATCAGCCATGCACCGTGGGAGCCAGAGAATGAATTTAGCTGATAAAACCTCAGAGCTGAGCAAACAGCTGGCCATGAACTAATTTTCTAAAATATTGCTCCTTGTCTGTACAGAAATGATTGCAATTTATTTCTGCCAGCAGGCTGATGAAGTTGAGTGGAGGTGAGGGTCATCCTTGTGCCGGAGCCACACACCTCTCCTTGGGCAGTGCTGGGTGGTAGTTTTGGGATACTGGATGTGCTGGTACCAGGAAGGGAGCAGGCAGCCTTGTTCTTCACTGGGGAGCAGGGCAGGGTCAAAAACCAACATGAAATTCAAGGAAATTCCATTAGCCATTCTTTATGAAGGCTCAGCGAAATTGCCCAACGGGAAGCTGGGTCTCTACCAGGTGGGCTTTGTCTCCTGTTGGTCCATACAGGCAGGAAATGGAGGGACAGAGGGTCTAGGAATAATGTTGTGCCCAGTCCTTCTCCTAACAGAGCACAGCTCACCCTGAGTTTAATTCATCCTACCTGCAGCATCTGGCGGAGACCAGGTCTGTTAATCCTCTACAACAGAGGAAGGCACTAGATCACCAGAGGAATGACTCAAGCAATTTGGTTGCTGAAGGATGCTGGTGTCCTTGTTCCAGCCACTACTGAGGAATGTCAGAGAGGTTCATCTGAGACAGTTTGGTACTGCACAACTCTTGGGGCAGTTTAGGGCCATCCTGTGCAAACTTTTTCTTAACTCTGCTTCCTGAGTCATTTAAGTAATTGCATCAGCCCACAAAATGAGCTGAGAACCGATGTGAATGATTTTAGTTGTCAAATCTTTGGACAATAATGACAAATGCAAGCATAATTGAGATTTTCCTCCATTTCTCTTCTGTGCTAAATAGAAATATTAAATTAATTCAGCTATACTGCAAGGAAAACTGCAAAGTATCTGGAAGATGCTCTTGCTTGGAAAAGGTCACTACATTGCCACTGGATTGTTACTTCACTTACTTAACCCAGCAGTTAAAAAGGACATTTTGTGTCTTTCCCAGCCCACTCATTGTCCAGGAAGCCAATAAGGCGGAATAAATGAGGATCATCAGAAAGCTGTACAATTTAAGTCTTTCTATCATTATGCAAAATCTACAACTTCATTAATCACTTTTATCTTAATGAATTTGGGGACTAACATTTCTGCTGCTAAGTACTCACAGAAGTTATTAAATCGCTGCCTGTTTGGTTCCCCCATCTGTTTCCATAAAAATTTTCTGCAATTACTATTTCAGCAAAATTTCTAAAACCAGCCAGATTTCTTAAGAAGAGATTAAGAAGAACTCTACTGTAAGTGTAAAGGGAAGCTTAAGGTATGCAAGGAGCAAAAAAAAAAGAGGTACTAAAATACACATTAAAACAGCCTTCCCTGAAAGTTGCAAGAGGATCAAGGCAGTAAAAGGGAGACTGATAAAATGGGGAGAGGATGGAAAAAATGCTGCCCATTCAGGTCCAGCTGTCTGTGGCTGGTGAGATGTTAGCATAATATTGAATTCATTTTCATTTTTCTGAAGGAAACAGATCCAGAAGACCGTGCAACAGACAAGGAAGTGAGCTGATGTCTGTAGTAGCACGATTGAGCATGGGAAGGGGCTATGGGACACTGGTGTGGCAGCTGGAGGCAAGAACCAGTTCTGGGGTATGCACTGGGCATGCTTCCTTGTACCTGGACACTTGATCTTAGGTTGCCTCAGAGATTTTACTGCACTGAATCTGAATTAACAGAACCCCTATGTCATTCTGTAGTTCCTGTAGAGCACTGCAGCCCCTCGGGTATCATTATGTGGGCACATCTTTGAACTCCCCCTCCAGATGGCCTTCCTGGCCCAATTATGTACCTGTTTGGTATCAAATTAGAGGGATCTATGAGTCCTTATTTTTACTAAATGCCAGGACATTTTTTTGCAGCAGATAAATTTCCATCTGCTTTTCACAACAGTGGGATAGGCCCAGTTCCTCAGGAAGGAAGATTGCAGGGTGTTGTCTGAACTGAAGCAAATCCAACGGTCCAAAAGGGGGCTGACTGGAAGAGATCAGCTTGGCCGCGCCTGAATTGCCCAGGAGAAGGATAATGAACAGAATAAGGAGAGCGATTGCTTTAATAAATAAACTGGAACACGTGTGTGACTGATATCTCCAGGGGCTGATATATGCCAAAAAGTCTGTTTTTAACATCTGGTCTTCAGCAGCCTTAATATGTTCTGACCAAATCGATAAATCTTTTGCTGCTAGTGTCAGACTTCCTATAGCAGCTAGAAACAGAGGAGGAAGTACAGAGAAAGGAATACACACACATACATACATGCCTTTTCATACAGAAATACCCACCAGTGGAAGGATTAATAATGTGAAACTGATTCAAAGTAGTGCTTAAATAACCCATAAAGAGGACATATCAGTGCCTTATACTCATTCCCTATGATCTGTTTTACTTAGTATAAGCCGTGGTGTCAGCAACTCATATTCAACTCAGGGCACCCATAGTTGCAGTATGTTCTTTATCACGCTGTGATTGCACAGCTTTTCATCTCTTACCAAAGCTTTTACACGCTGCAAAGGTTGAGGGAAGCAGGTGAGGTGCTGTAGGCATAATGGTCATTTTTAAAAGCACTTTCACCAGCATGCAACCACAGGATGAGAAAACCAGAGAAAGTGAGGAGTAGGGATAAAAATGGAGATAAAAAAGAGGCTGTGCAAGTGGAGGCTTCTGGGCTGCAGTGTTTAACTAAGGACAGAATGCAAAAGGGGAGAGGAATAAAACAAATCCTAGAGGCAGGAAGAAAGTGTGTGAAATCATTCAGTGCTTGAAAGTCATGCGGGTGAACCGACTGAAAAACTTGAACTTATGTGCCATAACAGGAAGCAGGACCTACAACAGCAGGGTATGTAACGTCTGCTGTCCAGTGCAGACATGCATTCCCTATGTTCAGCCCATCTTTTCTGTTTGCAGTAGAGATGCTACACAGTATCCGTGGTATTTTCTCACAAGGAAGAAAGGATTTGAGAGAACAGGTTTCTTTCTCCATTCAACTTACTCCAGAAGCTCAGGGGGAGTCCACTGAAGGACTTTGCACAAAGATTGATGTTTGGCCTGCAGCATTAAGCAGAACTTGTTCATTCAAGAAAGAATGGCGGTTTGGAAGAACAGGAGGTTGTGGCCTCTCTGTTGCAGCAGCAGAACTTCAGACAGGTGATAAATAAAAGAGACTGTCACTGAGAGGATTTGAAAGCTTTGCAATGAACAATGTGAAAAAATTCTTGCTATGACCCCAAGCACCTTTATATCAAGAGACCTCCTGGACACGTGGTGAATGAGGTCTCGTTTTAAGTGCTGCCATCAATGGATTATATAGAGATAGCTCTAAAATCATGATTCATTTACTTTTTTTTTTCCCCCTGAATATCACTCTGAAGTACCTAATTTGATGACAGACATGGACTTGGAAACCGAAGAACTTTCAGCTTTTGTGTTTATTTAGTCATTTAGCCAGAAACTCAGCTGGAAACAGTAGGTTTCAGATCATTATTACTTCTATCTGAACAGCAGGGTTCCTTCAGAAAGCCAGGCACTCTGCTGGGTGTCACTCTAATAACTGCTCAGTCCAGTCTTCCCTGCATTGTAGCTGATACAAGTAACTGTGGCTCCTGTTCTCAAAAGAATCAGAACCGAAGTTTTCAAGAAGTGACTCCTAGAATAGCAAACTGCCTCAGAGTGACACGAAAACCCATCCTAGAATTCGTGTGTTGGAAGAAAGGTGGTCAAGCCCCAGGAAGGGGCTCCAGCAAAGCCATGCGGCAGAGATGAACCCCAGGATAGAGGCTTCATTTGTTTCCCTGCACACTGCTCAGATCTGTTATTTGCAGAACAGCTCCACGGAAAGCCCGAGGATGCCGTCAGCGGTTGCAAGCCCAACGCTACAGAAGGGCGCGAAGGGCACAGCACTACGGGCTGCACCGTCGCTTCCCGCCGTGCGCATGCGCAGCATTCAGGTGCCTGCGCAGTGGCGACACACGCCCACCTGACCACGGCCCGGGGGCAACAAGATGGCTGCGCCCATGTGTGCTTGGAGGTCGGCTGGGCAGAGGGTTTAGTTCTGTCCTGTCCCTGGTGGAAATAGACTCTCCGTGCCACGTCGCGTTGCTACGTCTTGCTGCCATCCGTGCATGGAGCCGCGAGAGTCCTGGGCGGCCTTGGCGGTGAGTGCCTGGGCCGGGGCCTGTGTGTTGTCATGGTGACGCCTTTGCAGTGTCTCTAGGCCGCTGCTGGAGTTTGCTTTAATGGCGATGCTCAGCTCCTCATAAGGGTGGTTTTTGTTTGTTTGTTTGTTTGTTTTGTTTTTTTTTTATGCTGTTCTACTCTTCTCAGCACTAATGTTGCTAAGAGGTAGGGAAGAAGGTGCAATTTGCTTGTTTTATTTACTAAAGTCACTGCTATTTTGCTGTAGGTCTTGTCATCCTGCCACAGGTGCTCTGTGATCTGCTTCTTGGATTTAAGTGCCATTGGCCATACAGATGTTGGGGATCTGAAGAAGCAATCACTTGATTCATGGTTAGCAGGTGGCTTGGTGAAGTCAGATTACATCTGATCAATAGTGTGTTGAGCAGATGAGGATTTTGATGAAAAAGAGTGAAGAAAAATCAATGCATGCAAAATAGCTAAGTAGATTAGAAGAGTAATTAACTTATTGATTAGAACTCCAGTGGTAGATATTTCTCGGAGTCCTTTGTTGGCACTGAAATAAAATAGAGTCCAAAATGATTTGTTTTCAGGTAGAATTAGAAATCTGTGCTTGTTTCTTGTGTGCTGCACTACTTCAGCAAACTATGCTGTTCCGAATCACAATGAATAAATAACACTTACTAGAAGTGTGGTTTATTGCTTTTTAAAAATTATTTTAATTGACTTCTTCAATTTATTCAAGTCCCTTCCTCCTGTTTTTGGAAAGTAATTCTTTACCAATCAGTCACAGTCTGTGGAATCTCTTTTATAAATAAAGTCAACTAGAGACTCAAGCTCTAAGAAAGATTGAGCTATGTTTGAAATTGCTTTTACAGTTTGGTATTAAGAATTGCTTTGGGAAATAACATGTTTCCTTATGATTGTGAAAACATGTTTTTTCTTTTTCTGTATGCTTTTGTCAACAGAAGAAAATGAAGTAGTTTTACTTTATGCTTTGTTCAGCAAAGGAAATTGAGCAGGAATGTCATAAATGAAGAAATTGGCTAGGAAATGTGAAGGTGAAGCAGAATTGCTTCTGTTTTCCATGATCTTATCACATGGCTTCCTAGAGGCATTGGTCATTTTGTTCTGTGGCAATTTGATAACTGGCACTTACTGTCTTGATTTTGTGCGTGGTAAATAAGTGGTGCACTGGTTGCTTGTGCTTTTCAGCATAATGAGATTATTTCAAAATTACCACAAAGTGGTCAAATGCTGGGACTTTTCTTTCTCTTGTTATAGCTAGCGATCTTACAGGCTCTGGGTAAGACTATTGGTTTATAATTTGACCTCAGAAACTATACTCAATAGCACCTTGGCTTTGGTGTGCCTCAGTTGCTTACATAAGCTCTGTAACTTAACTCCTGTGAACATTAATGTACTTTACTCTCTGATTTTTATCATGAAGGCTGGTGGAATTGCTGGCGTCTTTGTCGACTTGATCCTTTTTCCTCTGGATACTGTAAAAACCAGACTGCAAAGTCCCCAAGGATTTAGGAAAGCTGGTGGCTTTCGTGGCATCTATGCTGGCGTTCCCTCCACTGCTATAGGATCCTTTCCAAATGGTAAATTTCGTTTGGATTATGCTTTGTCTTCCTCAGAGTGGGTACTTGCATCGAGTAGGACACTCATGTCTGTGGCTTCCTCTCCTGCAGATGACTGTTTGGATTCTGTGAGACAACATCCAGCTGTGAAGAGCAGACTTTAGAGTTGTATGACATTGAGAAACTCTCTGAGCGTGCCTAGCAGGAAGGCTGCTGCATGCTCACTCTGTTATGCTTCTGACTCTAGTGCTGTATTTCAGCATGGAACTTGCCCAAACAGGAATGCTTGCAAAGATGCAATTCATATTTGAGGGTTTCATTGTAGTTTAATTAATCCACTTTGGCTTCACACTGTAGTTAACTTTTCTGGAAGCTTTGACTTGAATAGTTTCCTGTCGGTGACTCTTGACAGGGAGTGAGTGGGATCTGGAGTCTGTAGCTGGATTTGAAGTAGCTTACTTATGTCATGGGCAGTATACATCTCTCATGTGGGTTCAGTTTGGTCCTTTCCTCATGTGTGTTTTCTATTGTGTTAAGTATCTGCATCAGTCCTACTATTATAAACCTCAGTGTGGTGAGAGTATTACATATTGACTGATTAGTATACCCCAGTGCTTTAGGCATGTCTTAAATGAGCTCTGAAGTTTGCATGTGGGCAAGTAGTACATAACTGCTGGTGCTAAATGTTGCTGGTGCTTTACTGCAAGTCTCTTACTCTTTGGAAGTGTTCCTGGATTTGTCTTATGTGCTGCTTCCTACTTAATCAGGGTATTTTGAGGTGCCAGGACATGAGCTGTGCTTGCCCTGCACAGTTTTGTCATGACAGCATGGGAAATGCATCAGAATTCATCTGAATAAATCATGAAGTGCTTGAGCACTGGAGGCCTTTACACTAAATGTCTCAGGGATGCTATGCATATCATGTTTTTTTTTTTTTCTCCCTAAGAAACAGCTCAATATCACTTAAAATCAGAAGGTACCAGGAATTCTTTTGAAACTGAAACTTTAAAAAAAAAAGTAAATGTTTGTCCCTGCAGAGAAAAAGCATCTAAAATTCATAATGCCTTTGTCCATTTTGTCTTTGTAGTGAAGGAAGAAAAATCACCAAGTTATGCCATTAATAGTAAATGTTAGGAGAACTTTGCTGACAAATCCCTTTACACCTTCAGATGTTTGATGTCCTTCCTAAGATGATATAAAAAATTCAGTTCTTTATCTTGTCTGCTCTGTTATCTTCTTTTGAGGTGATAAGCATCTTTTGATTAGCAGAAGGCAATTCACGTAGTCCTTCTTCACAATTAAAATCTGTTCCCCCGCAAGACATGTCAGTTTTTTCAGGATTTACATCTTCAAAATCTGAACTGTGGTTTTATCTTTCCAGCATATGACTGAAAACCAAAATTGTCTTTAGGAGGAGTAACCCTTAGGGTACAAGTACCTTTGTAGTTGACTGTTGCTGTGAATAAACACTGTTTATGTTCCTATGCTCGGTTTAGTTTTCTATGTTTCTTGTCCACTGGACAGAAATTTTGAGAGTCCTTCAGAAGCTTTGAAGAATTTATTTCTGGAGCTAAGATACAAAATATTAATCTGATCTGATCATAGCTCGGAAATAGTTACTGAAAACTGCCGCTGAAACTGTTCTGTGTGATAGCAGATGCTTGCATCAAACACTTTGGTGGCCTTTTTTGCTTTTTAAAGGTCACCCATCCAATTCAACCAGGACTGAACAATCTCCTTTCTGCCCTTCCCACCTATGTGGGAAAACATGGAAGATACGACCTATCAAAACCTGCTGGACAATCGTGACTAATTAAAGCATTTTTCCTTATCTTAATTCTAAGTTCTGCCTGAAGCTCTGGCACTTCTTAGATCAGTAGGTGCCTTTGACATCAAAGGGGGTTTGTCAATCATAACTGGGGGCATAAACTTCTGAAGGAATTTCCCTACAGATTGCTTTTATGTATTGGTACTGTTTTGGGGCAGTAAATACCGTGTTTTCAAAAGTGTTTTTAGAGTAATAGATGACAAAATCAACCTCTAAATGTTTTTGTGCTAGTTCTGTAATGAAGGAATGCAGGAACACTTAAATGACTTCAAGTATGTTTAAATTTCAGCTGCTGCGTTTTTTATCACCTATGAGAATGTGAAATCTGTGCTGCACCATGACTCTACATCATACTTGACTCCAGTTACACACATGGTGGCTGCCTCCTTTGGGGAAGTGGTAAGAAAGAAGTTCATGTACTGTGCCTGTGTGGGAGGAGTGGAAACCAGCTCTAAAAACTGAGGTTTGGTGCCATGTCTTTTTGGAGTGCTGACATACAGGTGCTTGGGAGTTCTTGGAAAAATATTTATTTTTAATGAAATTCTGGCATTTGAAAGAATTCTGACAGAGTATATGTATGGGTCAGTAGACCTACTGGTGAACTTTGCTAAGCTAGTAGATGGAGAAAGTTTGCATTGATCTGAAATATGAATGTACCTTCACACTGTAGTGATTATGCATCAGCATTAACTTTCTAGAAGGCTTTTTTTTGGTTTTACAGCCATTCAGCATCAGTTGATTTTTATTTTTACAACCATAAGGTGCTACGTAACTTCACTTACCAAATAATACACAATGCTTTCCTGACAGAGCCTGTCTTGGAGGAAAGTGCCATGTCAGGATGACTGGACAGTCCATAGAGCCACAGAGCTGAAAGCTTAGCTCTGCAAGAGCTGGTATGTGACATTCAGTAACAGAAGGAAACTTCCCTTGCAGTCTGCAGCTAGTGTGGAAAGAGAATGCTTCTTAATGTGATTGAAAAGCACCAAAGCTTCCATTCCTGCCTGATCCAGATGCAGGCTTGTCTATTGGTTTACGCTGTTCTGTACTGCAGCCTAGGGGCTGCCTTTCCTTTGAGGCCAAATTCACAGACTAGCTTGATTATTGCATTTTTAAAATCTATTTCTGAAGTTTCTGTTCCTTTTTCTGAGCTGTTTCTGCTCCTTCTTGCAGACAAAAAGAGCAGAGTTGCTTTGCGTTAGCTGAATCAAATGTTTTCCGCAATCAGCAAAACCTTTCTTTCTCTTGATATCCTTCTTGTTTTTAACAGCAGATTTGGAACAGTGCCTTGGCAGTGTTGGGGCTGGGTGTTCAGCTCTAAACAGTCCACTTCTGTCCCTGCCAGCACTGTCCAACTCCCTATTCCTGCTTTTGTCACTCTGGGTGTTTCCTGGCATTATAGTGATGAAATGGGGTGTGAGTTGCTGTGTTCCCACCGGTTTAAGGAAGAACAGCGAGCTCTACAGAATTAATAGCAGCCTGGCAAAGCTGCTTCCCACGAGATGTGGTTCAACTCTTCTTACTCTCCATGGTTTCAATTTTGATTCCCAAGTAATTTCTGTTTTTCTGTGGAAATGATACTGATCAGACTGGATCAGTCTTAGACAGTGAGCTTAATTTAACGTACCAGGCTCATTAAGATAGGTGAATGCAGCATACTGCTTTGGTAGTGATTATGAGCAGGAGTAGGTAGATCATCATAGATTGAGGGGTCGGTGGGATACATCTGTGTTGTCTCCTCGGGCAGATTCTTTTTATCTTGCTGAGAGTCTGCTCTGTTAGCTTAACTTCTATCTTCAGGCACTGCACAGGCTTTATTCCCGTGGAAATCCGATAAAGGCTGTTAGGAATCAGCAAGAATATGATAGTGCCTAGCTCTGAAATTCCTTGTTTGCTTGAAATGGCATGGAACAGCAGATCTAAGAGGTCTTAAGCTTCTGGAGTGCTGTTTTGGAATCGAATAAAATGATTGGATTCATGAAAATGTGCCAGTGATCTGTGATAAAATTGGCTTCTTTTGCAAAGTGGATTATTTATAGTATATTTCCTCTCTGTGAGTGTTCTGTAAGAGAACCAAAACTGGATAATTCAATTATCAACCAAAGAATAGTTGCATGCAGATAACTTCTTTGTGCAATTACAGAACCTGTTGCTTGAACGTTCCAGGGTGGTCTGTGTTCTCCTTACACATCAGGCACGTACTGCTTTCATTTTCAGGTTGACAAACGGAGATGCAGCACAGCTAAATGAGTTGCTCGGGGCTGCCTTTACCTGAACTTCATCTGTTTGTCTCTTGCTACCCTAAGGCCAGAGAAATGTATAATGATAGCCTTTAAAACGGTAGTCTGATTTTTATAGTGTGGAAATCATGGGGTTGTAATAGCCACTTCTTAACTAATAAGGTTTTGCTTTTTGCTTGCTTTTCTTCACTTGATGTGATGGGAGAACTGAGCTGTAAAAATAATCGAGGTAGGGATTTAGAGATTTGCTACAACAAACATAAGATCTTGTGTAGTGCTATTTTTATTACATTTGCTCTTATAGAAAGTCTTAACTGATAAATCAAGATATATATATATATATATTAATATATATAAACTATTCCAGGTTACATCAGTGTGAAAGTTATAGTTTTGTTGATCAGTCATTCAGCTTTAACCAAGGCATAGCCACTAGGACTATCAGTTTGTCAGCTTTTCTTTGTTGTTGGTGAACACAAACCTTCCCTCCTTTGTATGCTTTAATAATTACTTTCATATTTCAAAGCAATTTATATCAAATAATAAGCCAAAGACTCAATCATGTGAGGGTTCCCAAGATGTCTGCTTCCATTTCCAAGTTTTTTTCATTACAAAACAGAGAAATTAGGATTGAGAAATGGAGACCGGATTTCTAGGCTTGCAGGTCATTCCCTGGCAAGCATAAATGAGTCAACTACCTTGTTGTGCATTAGTAAAATGTCAGCATACCTCTAAGCTTAGTGAATATTAATGCTGACTAATTTGTGTTTTATATGTGCACAGCTAAAGATAATAACATAGGGAATGGAGGATATAGAAAGTGCTGCATCAAAGCATGGTAATAATGAGATAAATCAGTTAATTGGGAGTTGTTATTTGAAGTCAGAGCTACTCTTTGCTGTTGCTCACAGTCAGTTATGTGACGATGATAATAATGTTTCAGCTTCAGGAATGAGATAAAGAAAAGTACACACAACATCTAACCCTGTTAAACAATTATTTTTCCCTTTAACTGAGTCTCACTATATAGAGGAATTGGGTGTATCATAATACTTGAGAAATTACTGAAAAAGACACAACTAAAACTCCAGAGGAGGTACATGCAGTGTATCTTCAAGGAAGAGTGAAGGTTGAGGAATACAGGAGTTACCAAAGTTGGAGGGGGGGGGGGGAGGGAACCCTTAGTATGCTGCTTGTCTAACTGAAATTTGGAGATAGGAAACACTGCATCCAGGGCTTTGGAATTTTATTTATTTAGGTTCTTTTTATTTGACTTTGTCCTCCATGTTTAGTCTGCCTGTATCTTTACAGTGAGCTGCCAAAATGTGCTTGGAAAACATGATATCATAGTGGGTGGAAAGGAAAACCAGATGTTATAAAATTTTACTTTTCATATAGTGAAGCAGTGTGAATAACTCTGGGAAGGAGCAGTGTTTTTAACCTCCCAGTGTTCTGTTTTATAGTAACAGGGTGCTTTTTACAGATCCTGAGTTAATGAAATTTGTAAAGATTTTTGTTTTTAATTTTGGTGTAGGATGGCAGTGTATGCTATTCACTACAAGAAACCCTTGTGACTTCTCTTTGCCATCAGCCTGCCCTCACCAGCGTCCTACAAATGTGGTTTTATGGGACAGGTTTAAGGTTGTCCCAGTTTGGCTGATGAGGTTTCCTTCATGAGTGCCAAAGTGCTTGGATTCAGCGCAGTTAATTTTACATCCTGCTGGCTTTTCCATGGAGGTGAGAATAAAGTCGTTTGGATCACGTTCTAGAGAAGCAAGCTGACAGCAGCCTTTTCCATCTAATATTTAGGTATTGTTATGGTTACGATCTGAGCTTTGCAGGATACTTGGTGAAAGTTCGGGGCTTATGAACATCAGGTCTGATCTTACTGTTTTTCTGACTTCCCCAAGGTTGTGAAATCCCAGGTTGCTTGCACTAAGGTGGTGTGCCTTCACAGCATGTGATAGCATGAGACAGAGAGTAGCTTAGACCCTGAAAGCTTCCTAGTCATATTAGTGAGTCTGTGCTTGCATTAATTTGCTTGTTAATTTTTAAGCTGATGTAGTCCCAGTGCTGTGGCTTCATCAGCTCTCTTGTTTCCATCCTGCTTCAATGTCCGTGCACTGTGCTCCCACAGCTCATATAAATACTGGACAAGCTTTCAGGTGCAGAAAGGCATTTCTGGTCTGACTGCAAGGTCGCTGTACTTCAAGCTATCTTCCAGGCTTTGCTGGAGCATGAAGCTCATAGGGAGAGATGGAGCCCTCAGTTGTGTTCAGAGACTGCTCTGAATGTTTAGGTAGGAACTGCTGCCTCCAAAAATGATGGACTTGGCTGGCTTCAACATAAAGAATAATGGCTTAGCCTCACACTTAACTGTTTTTCCAGAATTGAGAAGTGAAGGATGTTAAATACATTTAAATTGAAACATCCAGAAACTTGTCTTTTCGCTGGGGTGAGGCCATGAGAATGGCTGACTTGTCATACTTCAAATAAAATAAACAAAGTAGCAGCAGCAGACTCAAGAGAAAAGTAACTAAAACTTAGGCATGTATTTATGTATTCATTTCACTGTCTCATCTCTGCTTAAATAAGTAGCTGGGAGGTGTGCCGTTGTCGCTTTGTGGCTCCACAGGTCAAAGTCAGGACGTGTATTTCAAGGTGAAATCCCGATCTCCTTTGTGTTATTCCAGATTGCTGCCATTTGCAGTACTGCAGTGATAAGAGCAAAGTGTGTGGTTCATCTGCGATTAGCATCTGACCCTCAGTATTAATAACTTGGATTTGTATTATCTGCTTTTGATATGTGTCAAATAGGAAGGCTTCTTCATGCAGGAATTAGCTCTCTGGGGAATTCAGCTAGCTTCCCCTACTCGTCCTAACTTGTTTCTTAGAAGGAGCAAGCCCAAATGTAAGCAAGTACAGTTTGTAGATCATGATTCTGTAGAATGATATTTTGAAAAGAAGGGAAGTGAGTGTTTTCCATTGCATTCTTTTTGTTTCTGAAAAAAAAGATGCATTTTAGATGCGATAAAGGCATGCCATCTCTGTCCACTTATTAGTCCCTTCTTCTTCCCTTTGACCTGGCATTAAGTTTTTGAATCTATTAATTAGTTCTAGAAGTGTATTGATGTGGATTCTATTAGACTGGCTGTGTAG